CCGCTCCATCCCCACCCCGGGAGGGCTGAGCCAGAAGAAGAGTTGTGGGGCTTGGTAGCTCCTGGCACCACATCCCCAAGAGGCCTGGCCTCTTTGGACAGGGGGTCAGGGGAGTAGAGCTCTGGGCCTGGGGCTGGGGTAGTGATCCAAGTTTGGGTTCTGGCCCTTATTCGAATCAGTCATTGTGTGACCCTGGGCAAGACCCTTGCTCTGTCGGATCCTGGGCTTTCCCATCTGTTTAGTGGGCCTTTGGCCAAGGCAATCTTCACAGGTCTAGATTCCCCCTCCCCTCCCATCAGCACACACACACAGACACACACGTGCCTTGGAAGAGGTAGGGTGTTGTGCACGTGGACCCCTGGGCTTGCTGCATGCAGTCCGGGGCTCCCTATTCCTCCCTCCCTTCCTGCCTCTGCTCTCTGGAGGCTGGCAAACGAGGGGTGTGTTCAGAAGATCCTAGGCCTAAGTTCCCTGTCCAGGCCCTGGCTTGACCATCCGCCTCCCTGGCACCAAGGCCCAGGCAGGAGCAGCTGTTTTCCATCCCTTCCCAGACAAGCTCTATTTTTACCATGGTGACCTTTAGAGAGGTCTCCCAGGCCAGCTCAAGGTGCCCGGCCGGGCTCCTCTGGAGACAAGAGATGGGAAGATCCCTCCTCCCAGATCCCTCTCATGCTTTCCCCACCTCAGCTCAGACTGCCTGGGCATCTTACCTGCTGCCAGAGAGGAGAGCTGTAAGGGGATGACTTCTATCCCCAGCCCCAGGACTTGGGAGTCCAGGCATGCTACAGGTGCCTCCAGCCCATCTGTCTTTTCTGGGCCCTTCCATGGCAAGTTCTGGGCTAAAATCTGAGCTGGGGAGAGAAGAGTTGATACAGAGCTATCCGCTACCCTGTGGTTTTACCTGATGGCCCCGAGTTTGAGGTTGCCCACTTGGAAAGAGGGAGGCAAGAGTTCCTTGTTATAGGAGGTATTCAAGCAGGAGCCAGGATGCATAGAGGAGATCCTAGTAGGAAGGGGATTGGC